CGTCATGGGCCATACCCCATACATGGGTCGAAAGTTACAACGGGCTGGAACCATATTGGGCGGCCCAGATGACGCTACTGGGCCAAATTCGGGTAGGCCGTAACGGGCCGTGAGTTAGCGGGCTGTAAATGGGCTATATGTGAACATGCCATTAACAGGCTTTCCATGGGCCGGCCCACTACCTTTTAACCAAGTCAAACGGGCCGGCCTTTGCACTGGAATGGACCTCTGTTGGGGCATGCCACGTGTCGACGTATCATAGGCGCCTTCGATCCAATGAGTGGATGACATCTGTCCCATCGGTGAGTCGACACGTGGTTCCTCTGGCCATTGACAATTTTACATATGGAAAATCCCATTGGTCCAGGCTGTTAACGGGTTATCGGATCCAAACCAGAACCTGATAGCTTAATGGCGACCCGTTATGGTGGATGCCACGTGTCGGTTACCCTTGACGAAAGCAACTCTATGACGCGCGATTTATCGTCATGGAAGTGGACACTCCCGTGATGATAATTTTGGTAATGTCATGGAACACTTCTATGACAGCACATGCATGACTATCTTGATTCTGTCATAAAATCGTCATGGATGTACATGCATGACAGAAAATGTGACCTACTGTGACAAACACATATCATCACGGAAGTATATTTTTTTAGTGTTTGGACCTTATGACCTTGTTACGTTTTTATTTAATAACATGGCTGCATGCATCGATTGATGCAGAGGCCGGGGGTATTCCTCCATTTCAAAAAAAAATAAAACAATGTCAAATGATGTAATCACTTCAAATGGTACAAATGATTTGCACAACTTGGGACATGAAAATGAACTCACATAGTCGGATTCCACGGTTCCACTTGGAGGTGCATTGCGAACTTGTTCCAAGCAAGCATCCCAACGGCTAAAAATCGGCTTGATCACGTCCCAACAACCTTGGAGTGACCGAAAGGTGCATGGAGTCCTATTGGGATACTTTCCCATCATGCGGAAGTATTGATCTTCGATCATTTTCCAATACCTCTTGGCGGTTTGAGATGTACCGGTGCAAGCATCAAGAGACATCACACTCCAAACCTTGATCAAGATTTGGTCTTCCAACATCGTGTAGTTCTTCGATATCGCGCCTTTTTTTTGCTTGCGCTTGCTCATACACCCCCTCGTCTATCTCCTCCACTTCATCTTCACCACCGTGATCATCCATGCCACCCTCCATTTCATTGTAATCAAAATCAGCGAACGGGGCTTGGTCGATGTCGACGGTGTTAGTGTCCTACAAGTTCATGAACTCGGCAGTGGCATCGTTCGAACCACCACTACAGTAAGTGACATCAAGTCACAAGCAACCACAATGGAGAAAAGCGAAGCAAGTAGAAGGAAATCGAAGAAGCATACCTTCCGGCCATTTCATCGAGCACCTCGCTTGCGGTGGAAGCAGCGGCACTGAATGGCATCGTCGGGGCACCTCTTGCCGGGGCAGAGGGAGAGGATGAAGGCGACAGCCTTTTCTTAGGAACCTTCTTGCACTTCACGCCCAAAACCTTACCCATCTTCTCCGGCAGCGGCCGGGCAGATCGTGCAGCGGCACCGGCGCCGGGCGCGCATGCCTTCCCGGCGGGGCTAGCCAGATTTGTGCCCTGTACAACCACGTTGCCCTGCCGCTTGCGGGCAGGCGGCGGCGGTGCCTTGAGAGACGGCGGGGGCGACATGGCCGGCAACGAGATCTGCCGGAGGGGATTGCGTGCGTGCGACATCCACGGTGACGGGGGACGGCTGGGAGGCTTCCATGGCGGCGAAGAATGGCCTTGGAAAATGGACCAGAGCGGGCGGAGGTCGGGCCATGGCGGCGAATGGCGTGGGAAGCGGGAATGGCCACGCGGAAATTTCCCTCGTGCCAAATCTCGCTGTGGATAGGGGGCGAGCTCGAGTCGACCTCCCACCCCGTGAATCTGAAGGTTGAGGGCGAACTTTTGCCGCGCCCCGCGAAAAAAATTACGGGTCCGACGCGTTTGCGGGGTCTAGTTGAAAATCATTTTTTGCGCGAACCCATATTTTAACGGTGATTTTGCGGGCCGGGGCATTATACGAGGTCTGCTAGAGATGCTCTTAGGGGTCAGGTTGGGAAGCTGCAACATAGGCTCGAGATTTGCAGCAACTGCTTGCGGTGGTGCGAGAGCGGCAGAGAGAGAGGAGGGCAAAGGGGGTCGCCTAGGGGAAGAAGATGGATCATAGGAAGATTCGAGAGGATAAGGGTGAAAAAGAGAGGGAAAAAAGAAGGAACGTGGGCTCGTGGTTGGTAAGTGTGTAGGGGCTGTGGCTTTCACCCGAGGCGCCGACAAAAATGACATATCAACCGGTTGGATGGGAGCGTTCCCTTATTTTTATCAGCAAATGTACAAATCATATATCACAAAAGTTATATCATTGAAAATATCTTTAAAAGATATGTATTTTGTAACATGTACTCAATATGTATTTTGTGTGTCTACCGGTTGGATGCTTCTTATATATCTACGGTTATCTTCATCAACGGTGTTTGTTATTCTGGTACATTGGTCCTATAGAGGTTTAACACGATTGACTTCCCGACAGACTACTACAACAAGGTTTGCATGGCTTCAGTGAGAGGGGGGCAATGATGGATGTACGTTTTTGACCGACTTCAGTGCTTGTAGTCGTCGCTTGTGGTCTATGGACCTGAACGTATTTTTTTACTTCCGGTGTTCTTTGTACTACCTTGAGAGTTGATGAACTGATCGGAAGTTTTTCTTGCAAAAATAAAATAAAAAATCAATGTCCATTTTTTCTTAAATAGTACGGGCCTTGTATATATGGTACATATACATATCTTGAGAAAATCTCCTTCCAGTTTCCCAAAACACCGCTGTGTAGATGAAAGTGTGAGGTGTCCTTCTTAAGCCACAAGTAAGGAACAAAGCAAAAGGCTACTCCGCACCCAAGCTTCGGCACCAATACTCCGCACTCTTCCCTTGCCGCCGGGATGGACGTGCAGATGGGCGAGCCGCAGGCGGCCCCTTCTCCTGCCGCCGTAGAGGCGGCGCCGGCCCCCTCCACCCTCCACCGTAAGCTCTCCTCCCCCTCACCAAAACCCTAGGTCCCCCTCTCCCTCACCAAAACCCTAGGTCCCCCCTCCCCGGTACCTCAGATTTGTTCTGATTTGCTAGTGTAATGAGCCTCTACTACAACAGTTACAGGTAACGATAGCTATAACTCTATTTAGTGGATGACTTAGGATTCCTCGACCGTTGTAGCTCCCACGATGTCCTCTTGCCCTCTTATGTCCGAGTGGTGATCCATTAGCCGAGTGACATGTGATTGTTCGAGTGCCGTTGAGCTGTCCGAGTGAACTTCCTGATGTATGCATCCAATCGTTAGCATGATTCAGGGACCTACCTATGATGGTGATGGGTCCCATGTGGGTCCCAAATGATGGGTCCTTGACAGAAAGATCCCGTTGATCTTTGGGCTGGCCCTTGCCTATTGAAAGTATGGTGTCTCATAAATGCTTTGTTAATGCCTCTTATTCGTAGAATCGGTCCAAAGCGCGGCTGAGTTGACGTTGATAGACTTGTGCGTGCTCTGCCGCTCGTAACCTTTTTTTCTCCCCCTAGTTTAAGTACTAGCGTCCCACCCCAACGTTCTTGTACTTCAAAATACTCTCCCCCGCTTGCTGCTCGCCTCAGCCAGACGTGGCTTATGTAGTGGTCGGCATTCCTACGTGCTCCGACTGATCCCCACTGGAGATTATATGAGGGGCCCTACCTGGAATAGGTGACTACATCAGTCGCATCACCACCTTTGTTGCAAGATAGGTCGCGCGACGCCGACCACTCTTGCTGCAACCACCTACTCCCAACATTGTTGTTGCTACAAGCCAGATGGGACCGTGCGCTGCATACTACCTCGATGCAAGGGGTGAGCGTCGATACTGCAATCTTGGTGTTACGAAAGCCGACTGCCTCGTTGTCGCATTGTTGAAGTGTTGTCGCTGCTACAAGGCCCCGTGAACACCATTGGTGTCCCCAGCCTGCAACACCCGGTGCCAGCGGTGGTCCTCTTTGAAGTTGTTGGCGACAGACTTGAGGATTGGCAGGATTTCCGACAGGGCTTAGGGGTCAGATTGGGAAGTTGCAACATAGGCTCGAGATTTGCAGCAACTGCTTGCAGTAGCGCGAGAGCGGGAGAGAGAGAGGAGGGCAAAGGGGGCCACCTGGGGGAAGAAGATGGTTCATAGGAAGATTCGAGAGGATAAGGGTGAAAAAGAGAGAGAGAAAAAAGAAGGAACGTGGGCTCGTGGTTGGTAACTGCGCGGGGGCTGTGGCTGTCACCCGAGGCAGACGACAAAAATGACATATCAACCGGTTGGATGGCAGCGTTTCCCTTATTTTTATTAGCAAAAAGTACAAATCATATATCACAAAAGTTATATCATTGAATATACCTTTACAAGATATGTATTTTGTAACATGTACTTAATGTGTATTTCGTGTGTCTACCGGTTGAATCCTTCTTATCTACGATTATCTTCATAGCGGTGTTTGTTGTTCGGGCGCACTGGCCCTATAGAGGCTTAACACGATGACTTACTGACAGACTACTACAACAAGGTTTGCATGGCTTCGGTGAGAGGCGGGCAATGATGGCTGTACGTCTTTGGCCCGCTTCAGTGCTTATAGTCGTCGTTTGTGGTCTATGGACCTGGATGTATTTTTACTTCCGGTGTTCTTTGTACTACCTTGAGAGTTGATGAACTGATCGGAAGTTTTTCTTGCAAAATAAAATAAAAAATCAATGTCCATTTTTTTCTTAAATAGTACGGGCCTTGTATATATATGGTACACCTTCCAATTTTCCAAAACACCGCTGTGTAGATGAAAGTGTGAGGTGACCTTCTTAAGCCACAAGGAACAAAGCAGAAGGCTCCTCCGCACCCAAGCTTCGGCACCAATACTCCGCACTCTCCCCTTGCCGCCGGGATGGACGTGCAGATGGGCGAGCCGCAGGCGGCCCCTCCTTCCGCCGCCGTAGAGGCGGCGCCGGCCCCCTCCACCCTCCACCGTAAGCTCCCCTCCCCCTCACCAAAACCCTAGGTCCCCCCTCCCCCTCACCAAAACCCTAGGTCCCCCCTCCCCGGTACCTCAGATTTGTTCTGATTTGCTCGTGCCCCAGATCTGAAGGAGATCGCCGCGGTGATCGAGGCGGGGTCGCTCTCCAAGGAGGTCCGCCGGATCTCCCGCGCCGTCCGCCTCACCGTCGCCCTGCGCCGCCGCCTCGCCGCCCGCGACGTCTCGGCCTTCCTCGCCTTCGCCCTCCCGGCCTCCAGCGACGCATACGCCCGCCTCACTCCCCTCCTCCCCAAGGTAAAATTCTGAGCAACAGAGTTTTGTCATGACCCACGACTTAGTCTTCCACTGCAGTTGCTTCCATGTTGATACTCTAATTGTTGTTGCCATGCGTAATTCACAGTTTCATGTTAGCTCTGGTGGTTATCCTATGAAAGTCAGAGTTCTGTCTTAGTTTCATTTTTGCATATACGACGGGCACATACTTGCATGGTTTGTGTACTGTTCAGGGATTCAGGGTACCAAAACCTTTTGATAACTCGTTTTCCTGTTTTGTACTGGGTGAACAAAGCCGAGGCTGGAAAAAGTCTTGCTAAAATCTAAAATTTATACTTTCAAACGGAGGGGCGGTAATTCCGAACTGGTCTGGATTTTTTTTGGGCGAAACTGGACCTGGAACTGATGATGGTAGCTTTTATATGTACAGTTGCCATTCATCAGGCAACTGAGAATATTTTTTGGATCAGTCGATTTTGGAAGTGAGCAGTGCAGGCTGTGCAGCAACAAGCTCGAGCCTGGAACGGCGTGGCGTTGCTGCCGAGGGCTTGCCAGGACCTCGCTGGAGGTGTGGATGACGCGGCTTGCAGGGAGGAAGGACCTCGACTGGT